ATTTTCGATGGAAACATTTTGTACTACAGTAGCACGTGGAATGTTAGTGATGGCCCGCACGTGTGAGGGGACTTTGATGAGACTGCAGAATCTGGTATCGATGAGAAAGAGAAAGAAAACAAATTCGGAGCGGCTCCTTCGTGCCGCTGGATGGGGAGGCTAAGGTGGAAGAAACAGCTACGGGGAGAATGTTTCCGTGTCGCGACAGTCTCGCTGCCAAAGACCCTTCACAGGCCGTTACAGGGGGGTGTGAAATGCAGCTATAGGGCTCGCAGACTCCGCTCCCCGCCGCGCAGCGAGGCTCCCAAGCAGCGGCCCTGGAGCCGCCCGCGCTGCTCCCTGCGCGAGGGGCGGCAGCGGCGGCGACGTCCCCGGCAGCCGCGGAGGGACCGCGGGCCGGGACCCCCGCGCTGCGGGGCCGGCGGCGGCAGCGGAGCCGCCGCGCTCCTCTGGCCCGGCCCCCGTGCAGCGGCCGCGCTCGTTGCGCGCTCTTTGCAAGGGGAGCAGGAGCGSCCGCGCTGCGCGCTCCCCGGGGCAGGTTCTCTCGGGGTGACGGGCTGCGAGCGGGCGCGCAAAGGTGCGCGCCTGGCCGCCCTCTCTGCGCGGCTATGCGAGTGCAGGTGACACTGGCAGAGCAGCCAGACCCCGCGTCGTGGCTTTAGGCGCGCGCTGCGCTCGCATTTCCGCGCTAAATCGCGGCTCGCGCAGGGCTCTTTTCCCCGGGCGCGCTGCAGCGCGCACTGYTCCGCAGGACCCCCCGCGCCCCAATAACCCCCTGCCCGGCCCGGGCTCCGTGCTGCGCACTACGGAGCCTGGGGAAGAAAAACGTCCGCACAAAAACCTACCCTGCCGAAGTGCCGCTCCGCTTCCTTCTCAAGGATGCACCTGTGAAAACGGGTCTAAAGTTAGTGCGGGGATTGGCCTCGCTTAGCAGCGGTGCAGGCTAAAATCGGGAAAGATCCAGTGAACCCAGGAGGCTACAATAGCTTATTTTATACTGCAAAACTGCCGTGCGGATTTTGCCCAAAGAATGTTGCGCGCTTTACTTTGACAATCCCAGCAGAAAAGAGATAGAGAGAGGCGGGAGGGGGAAGCGGGGCGGGGGGGGGGGGACAAAGACTTATGATTAGCACTAGTAATTTAATCCTAAATTCGTGGGCCATCCCCATCAAGACGAACAAGCAAGCATCAACACTTTTCTTTCTCATGTACACGTATCTGCGATAGATGATTAACCAGGTCCCTTGCTGCTTACAYAAGGGAAAAGAAGCCCTGACAAAGAGCACGGTGCCTGCTCGCAATTTAAGAAATTAAAAATCAAGCGAGGGGAGGTAAGAATGAGGCAAGTGATACCCTTTTTYCCCCATCAGTGCCGACTGGCAGCCACGGGTGATTTCGGTTTGTGTGTTTGCTAACAAAACTACCATTTCAGGGAGTGTATCCCACTAATGTTATAGGGTGAAAAAAGCTAATTCAGGGGAAAAATGTAGCAGTCAGCTACCAAAACCGACAAACGCTTCTCAAAGAAGCAACAATGTGGAAAATATATGAGGTCCTTCTTGGTTTTTATCAGGTGCCTAGYTGTGCTATTTCTAAGAACTGGGAACCGGGATGCCTCCCTGACACGATTCCCTTTCAGATATCAGCTCTCCGGTTCAGGTAAAAGTCCTTGTAAACTACGTCCGAATAGGAATCTTTATGCACTGGATTTAAGGGCGAGCTTTGACATTTCAGTGGCTCCCGGCCGCGCTCTGCCCCGATGCGGGCACGCGCGCCGGATGGCGCTGCTCCGAAATGACGCTCTCGGTTTGTTTGAACTCTTCCCGATTTTGACGGGGAATGTGAAAACGAGAGGGGGGGGAAACAAAGCGGAAGGGGAGGGAAGTCATTCTTTAGTTAATATTAATCTTAAAAAAAAARRAAAAAAAGAAAATTAAAATGAGTCTTAAAAATAGAGGGAATGTCCCACTTGAATTAGCAGCTTTTGGGCTTCGGGAGTGGGCTACGATGCAATAAAATTTGCCGAGAAGATTTSGGGAAGCGGCGCGTGGCAGGTGGCCCCACGGCGCGGGCCGCTCGCCCGGGGGCTTGGAGGGGATTTCGTCGCCTCGTCCCCACCGAGGAGAAACACTTCGCGGGGCCCGGGGACCCTCCTCCTCCTCTTCTGCTCCAGCAACATCATTTTTTTCCTTCTTTCGCGTGTTCTAAGTAAAACTGGCTCGGACGAAAGAGATTCCCCTCCACCTCTTCCCGAGTTAATAACGGAGAGTGATTAAGCTTTGACGACTGAGTTCGAAAGTCGAAAATAAACAGCACTGGCCTCTAACTAGGGATTCGGGACACCAAGAGATTCTTATTTTAGCCAGCTGTGCAGCGCCGCAAGTTTTGTGGGATGTGATTCCTAACGCTATGTGGGGAAGGGAGAGAAGGATGGAAAAGCGGAAAAACGGACCCAGAAAGTGCCTGGAAATTTTATGACCATGAAGACGGGCTCTCAGAACCGACCTGTCGTTTCCAGTTTAAAAGAAAAATGAAAGGGGCAGAGTGTTGTACGGATAAGGAGATGATCAGATCAGAGCTTTCTCCGCCTTTCAGTAGCTCCACCTTGTGAATATACCTCAGTAATTATGAGAGAGGGAAAAAAAAAAAAAAAAAAAAAAGGATTAGCCATGTATATGGCACATATTCCAAGACTCAGTCCAAGCTTTCCAAGCGCTCGCCGGGGTCTCTTTTCTCCGTGCTAAGGGAGATCACTTGCGACGGCAGCGTTTAATGCGCCCGTAAAAATAAAAGCTCTCCCGCAGCACCTTGCAGCACCTCGTAAATAATAAAGTCCCGCGGCTGCAGCCGGGAGCCTTTGGGCTCCTGCCGCSCCCTCCCCGGGGAGGCCGCAGCTGCGGGGACCCCGAGCGCCTCGGAGCCCCCTGCGCGGACACCTCCGCTCTCCACCTGCCCCTGCCTCGGGAAGAGGCGAATTCCCAATTCTGGAGCCACTGGGAAAGCGGCAGCCCGGTACCCGCGCGGAGCCTCCGATGGTCTTTGGGACCCATTCACCCAAAGGGTCTGAATGCGGCAGGGAGCCGGGCGGGGGATCCGCACCCGGGGGCGCGCACGGCTTGGGCGCAGAGGAACCTGCTGCGCGGGTGCGGGGGTGCTGGGGTGGGCCTCGCAGCGCCGGCCTCACTTGGCGTTTAGTTCTGTGCGCTCTCGGTTACCTCTCGGGAAAGACCCAGCTGCGGGATTAGCGGCGGGTTAAGGAGCGCGCGAACCTAAGGATTTATCGATCGCGCGTTTTATCTCCTGCAAATGCAGTGGGCAAAGATTCAAGAGAGGCGGCCCGGCTCTCGCTTCGCCCCCARAATCCCTCCCCGCGGTGCCCGCAGCGCGGAGCGGCTTTTGCACCCATTGCAGCTGGTTCTTCCGCGGCGCTCCTGTTGGGACCCCCAAATTTGGGGCTTTGGCCTGTGCGGGGATGCGAAGGAGCGGGGCGAGCGGGGCCGGGGGCCGCTGGCATCGTCCCCGGGTCCCCTCCTGCTCAAGTCCTACCGGGAGAGAGAGACAACGGGCTGGGAGAGGGGGTGTCTCCGCTGGGGAATTTCTGCAATGTTTTCTTTGTTCGGTAGCAGAAAGGCAATTTCCTTCTAATTATTTTCTGCAAACGGATAGACGTTTAACTTTTTAATTCTTTTTTTTATTCTTTTTTTTTTTTATTCCTAAGTAATTGAGGAAGATGAGGGAAAATATCTTTGATGCCGAAAAGCCGGGGCGCCCCGAGAGTGGAGGGAGCAGCGCGGCCAGTGAGGGCTCCGCGGTCCCGCTCCGCACTCCCGCGCGCCCCTCCGCGCTCTGCGCTGCTCGCCCCGGCCGCCCTTCTCCATTTCCGTTTTTTTTTTTTCCTTTAATTCCATGAAAAGTTGCTGTTATTCTCCAAATAGACACTTGGCGTCGCACTTTCTGTCTGTTTGAGCGTTAAAACAAAAAAAAAAAAAAAAATAAAATCCTGTTACCGGACCAAAAAAAAAAAAAAAGCCCTTACAAGCTGAGTTCTTTGCATGCAGTCACTCACTCAGGGAACAGCAGTGCAAAGCAAACACAGTCCCCTCAAGAAGTAAAATGTAATTATATTTTCTCCCTTCTCTCCCTAATATTTGCAATTGTCTGTGTCAATGCCTGTGCTTTACTTTAGGGAGCGATTGGCTTCCTGGCACCGGGAGAATTTCCCGGGCTGCACGGGGAGAGCTGAGAGTCCCCCCGAGCCGGCCCTTCCCCGGCGGCTGCCCGCGCATCCCCGCGCATCCTCCGCGCGGAGCGGCCGCGCACCGCGGGGCTCTTTATTCCCCCTACCCCTCCGGATGCGGGACGGTGACATGAAGTGGCCCGGGGCGATGTGGTGGGGGGTGAGCGGAGGTCGAACTGCACGGATATTTGCCCCGGGACGGGAGCGGGCAAAGAGGCACTTTGTTGTCTTTAGAACAAAGGGACGGGCAGGACGTCCCCAGCGCTCCTGTTCCACGGACCGCGGAGGCCCAAAAGCAGATAAAGGGAGGGACAGATAAGGCGAGTAGGGGGGAGGAAATAAACAAATCAAAGAGCGGTGGCGGTGCGGGAGGGGGGCGCGGGAGGCCGCGCGCGGGCCGGGGCCGGGGCCGCTCAGCTGGCGCTGCGGAGCGGAGCGGAGCGGAGCGGAGCTGTCAC